TGAATGCACACAGAGAAATAAAAATGTCAGGATAACGGCATTGTACTCAGCTYCCTTTGGAACTGATTTTAAGTTTTCTTCCCAACTTAACTAATCAAATACATGTGTATTACGCGTCTCAATTGAGTAGTTTTTCCTCAATTTTGATAGCTCTTATTTAACCAAATAAAGATGGAAAAATCAACTTAAAACATTATATGTTTTCCTTTGAATGAGTAGGACATAATGCCATTGGGCAGAGCAGTATGATTATAAACTCTAATTTATCACTCATATAAAGGCCGGATCAGAGACTCAGTCTGAATTTTCAGCCCTTCTGGTTTCTAGTAGTGGAGTAATCTTTGGTATTGACCAATGACTTTACATGTTGCAGTGAACTTCGGCTTCTCCAGAGGTATAGTAGAAAAAAATAGGTTCTGCCTTATAGATAATGGAATATTTTTGTAAATTTTCCTGAATGGAGAAGCTTGGAAAAATACAATGCACTAGAAAAACAAGTCCTYWMRCTGAGAAAGAACATTTCCCAAGCAATCATTATACTTTACAGGTTGTGGATGATTCKATGTATTGTGAGATTCATGACAAAAATCCCAGCACAGGAAACAAGCTATTTTCATATAAATATGTGTATTTACACAGAAGAATAATCCACTCATGGGAAGACCGTTTTCCATTCAGCAGAGGAAACAATAAAAACTGGTGGCCATTTTGCCTTTCACTGCAGGTCTCAATTCCATAATGCTAATTTGAGACTACTTATGCAAATCTTCTGTAGAAGCAAAATTATTAAAGGTTAAGTGCTTGTGACTTCTTATGATAGAACTCCTGTCATTAATTTTCCTTACTTGGCTGGGAAGGGTAGCTGGATAGCTATCCTGACATCTGGAATATTTCTGATGCTCTTACACAGCCCAAATAACATCTCACTCAAAGCAATGGCTCACACAGTACATTTTGCCACAGGATGGTTGGCCAAAATGATAATAACCCAAAATGATCCCTGAAAATTAAATAATGTAATAGTATTGTTCATATGCTTCCAGACACTGGTAACAAGCTGTGCTTCCACCAACATTTTTCTGCAAATCAGTGTGTTTTGAAAACCAACRTTAAACGACAATTGTGGGTTACAACACAGAAATAGCAGCTTTCTGGCAGTTTACAAATGTTCACTGCCCCGACTTGTAAGCCCAAAGTAAGACAAGTAGATTTAGCCTTAAGAGTAGTTTCTTCTCAATTTATGTTTCTTTTCCTTGTAATATTAAATTAAATTATAAAAATTATATTCCAAATATTAAAAAACACTTAATAACATGTGGTATCACTGGGTTTGCAGGTACAGATTAGGAAAGCAGTAATGTTGTTTATTTGGGCTAACCACCCAAATATTTTAGCTACTGATGGTAGGTAATATTTGATGATTTAAATAATTAATTTTTCAGAACAGATAAAAGTTGTAAGCTTAATTTTTCAGGGAAGACTTTAAAATATATAAATAAAATAAATAAATAAATAAATAAATAAAATAAAGCAAGTGTTCTTCTCTTAGCTTCAGATTAATTTAAAGTAAGAACTACTGGGCATTTTAGGAAGGAATCAGCTGCACTTCAGGAATGGATTTGTCCTTTTCTTTAATATGTATATATTTTGAATGAAGATGCTGAAAGGCTGACATAACTTCGCTAACACTTTTTCAGATTCAAATAAAACCAGTTTCATTACCTGCAGTCAGGTTGATGCTGACTGAATTTTACTGCCAAAGCATATTGCAGGCCTGCAAAGCTAGAGACACTAATTTTAATCTCAGATACAGAAGGCTAGCATTCAACTTAAAATAATTTTCTTGAAAGGAGGTGTGCCTGACCTCAGTGTAAGTCAAAAGTGCATTTGCCATAGACTTGCCATACACTTTTCACATTTTGCTCTTGTCTTTCTTCAATACCCATGTCAAGAATTATCCTGTTATCAATATTTTGTGGTTGAAAACTGATCAATATTTGTTTTCTTAAAAAGGCAAATTAGACTACATTCTGTTTAAATCAATACATTCAGCTGCATTGATACTCATAGGTTCTTTTCCACTGTTTTTCCAGCAGTAAGATAAGATAGTTTAATGCACATTTTAATTTTAATTTTAATTTTAATGTTACAATAAAAATGTAGTGAAAATATCTGCTTGCTGATACTTGGAAATGTTTGTATGTAAAGTAAAAACACCAAATGGAAAACAAAAAATCCAGATATATTTTTTCCCAGTACATTCTTGGAAATTGCTCATTTTAAAGGGAAATGAAAATTGCTAATACCCATGTTTAACAAAATTGTCATTTTTCTTCCTCCATGTAATATTGATTATTGCTCAATTTGTCCCAGTAATATAAAATATTAAGGAGAAATTAACCATCATTTGTAATCAGAAACCAAACCAAACGTCCCACAGTGCATACTCTTTCAGCTTATGTGTGCAAATGTCCTGATACTCACTTAAAGAGTGGGAGATGGAACATTCAAATGCAGATTATTATGTATTACAGAATAGGAACCCAGTGAATTGAATGTGCTCCAATGTAGTACATAAATCAAAACCATTAAATAAAGAATAAAAGGATCAGTTTATAAACCCAAAGAATGAGAGAAAAGGGGAATATGGAATTGATTCAGTCTTTTCATAGGAGCATCTTTGAACCAGAATCTTGTTTATTGCACATTTATTTWAAAAAAATCTAATTTTGGGAGCAATAGCACATACTCTGTCACAGTGAAAATCTAAGTCTGCTTTCTCACACATGATGCTGGGTTCTGTACATGGCCAGCTGTGTTGGTTAGCATAAGAGAAAACCAAAAAAGAAAGTTATCAGGTGATCCTCAAAGGAAACTAGAAACAGTGCTAGTAAAGACTCCAGGAGCAGCAGTATCAGTTTATACATAGTCTGCACTTTTTATTGGTACTACAGGGACTGCAGTGCTGGTGTAATATAATCATGACCACTTGGCCAGAAGGAGCTTCTGAATGCCAACCAACTTCTAAAGAGCTCTGCTGTGCACTGTGAGAAGGGATATTATTCAGCCTGAGGTCCATCAGGGCTTGTGAGTCTGCTGATGTAAACAGTAGCGCAGCACAGTGCAGAAATATGCTTTCATGTGACTGATGTGAGATGTGTGGAAAACTGTATTTCTAAGGATCTTGACTCATTTGCAAAGGGACTCCTTAGTGCAGGCAACTTTCAGAAAAAGTAAAGATGATATTTAGTACTGAAAGAGACTTTCTGGTTTATCAAATCCAGTGCTTTGCCTTTGCAGGCAATCATTTCACATAATCCCTTCCATCAAGTTACAACTAAAAAGCATTTAAAATGTTTTCTTTATATTACTACAACTGCAATGTAATTTAAGAACCTTGGTGTTCTAATGGTTTGAAACCTTCCAGGCTAAGTGTATTCACAGCTCATTTATACCCATTGATTCTTCTCTCTTACCGGGGATAAAGATAAATTGCTGTAAATCACAATCATTCCTCCAGATCCATGGGACCATTGATTTACAGCTGTGTGCTTGAACTTGTCCCATGTTTGTGCATTCTTCATGCAAGAGACTCAGAAACGTTGTGTGTTGTGAGAGAGAGCAGGAAGCCTGGAGGAATATCACATTTCRTAGCCCCAGAACAATGGCACAAAACCCACTCTGCATTCATTGGGCAATACTGCATTCAGTAAGG